AATTACATGGAGTGGAGGCGTTAAATGCCCCCAGATGGTGGCACGGTGTCTGGCCAGCGCCAGGTGATAGCAGCCAATGCAGGCTTTATTTATTTACATGTCTATAGTCCGGACCATTGATTCAGACACCTGAGCAGGACAGATGACTTATAACTTGGCAAGTAATGCTGGTAATAAGTATGACTGGATCTTTAATTACAAGATGAGCAGCAGCATTGTTACTTCTGTTGCAGGTTGTGTGACTTGCGTTGTGGCTTTTGTAATTTCTTGTCGTTTTTGTTTTGATTTTGTGTTGTGGCTATTGTATTTCTGTGGTGGCATTTTTTTGTTTTGTGTTGTGGATTTTGTTTCTGACCTGACACCTCTGGGGCACCGTACTTTCCAGATGGATACTGGTGTAGAGATCCAATTGAACCACCCCTATTAATCTGGCTTATGACCGTTTAAAGAAAAGCTTGTTTTTCATTAAAAAAGAAATATTTTTTCCTTATCAAAAAAAAAAAAAAATCTAGAATTCTAAACAGAACAGAATTTATTAAGAGCCCTTATTTAAAACTCCTAAACTCTAAAACTGTCTCGTGTTTTTTCTGTATTGCTACAATTCTGCTGACATTAACAGTACCACGTTTTTCCTCTGTTCTACATCCTTACATGAAACGCATAACTGCAGGCAATAGCCTAAATATTCTGCAATTGTATCTGAATAAAAGTTTCAGACATAGTTATAAAATAAGATCTTTATAGACTTTAGAAAATTAGAGTCTCATTCAGACCAGTGATTTCAGATTTTTTTGAGTGGATTCCTAAGAAACTGTAGGATGCACACAGACTTGTGCCATCTGTGAGCCTGTGTACAGTTTGTGAGTGGGAAGGATTATATCAGGTGAAATCTCCTTCCTGCCAGCATGTTAGCTGGTTGCAGTTATTTGGGGTAACACTGTGTCAGACTGTCTGAAAAGCCAATCTGCCAACTCTAGTTACCACCTTCATTTATTGTTTTTTTTTTTTTGCTTGTTTGTTTTCCACAACATATGATATCACCATGAAACAGTGATTAATAAAACAGACATTCACCTCACATTAACAGCATTAGCGCTATTTTAGTCACATTGGACTCCCAGGACATCTGCTGTTCACACCAAGTCAGATGTTTAAAACAGGGTTGTGGCTTCATTAAATCAGCATTGGAGTGTTGCTTTTAAATCAAAGGCTGATGATTAAACAACAGCTAACATTATTATGAGCCAAATAGAATATTTCGAGCACAGGATGCTGTCAAAATGTGTAATTTGTTCCCCATTCACATTTGCATCTCAAAGTTCTGATCATTCTAGTCTAAATCTGCTGTTAACCCAAGCCTTACTTTTTTCTCCCTCTTAAGTATTAAGTGGAAAAACAACAATATTTTGCTGAAAGCATTTCTGCCGCAAATGTTTTGTAAAATCTAATGAAAAAATATTAATATTATATTAAAAGATATTTGATATTTAAAATGTTGCTTAAACCTTAACATTATGTTGTCTTCCTCTGTTTCCCTGCTTGAAAACAGACTATGAATGTACTGCCTCTGGCATCAGCCCTACAGATGCTCAGGCTATGCTCAACTTGGCAAGTTTTGCACATAAGCAGCTGCTCAATAAAAATAATGCTCAGTCTTGCTCTATGTATAAACAATGCAGTTACCACACGATTATCTTTGGTTTCACAAAAAATGGTTTTATGATTTAGTTTCTCATCATTTGCCTCCCCCTTACCAGATTTAGATTTTATTTTAAAGTTGGTTTCAACAATTATATAATGAAGCAGCGTTTCAGGCCTAGACTATATCATTAATGCTCATCTTTCTTTTTAAATTGCTTCCCATTCACCCTGCTGAGCTAGCAGGCCTGCCTTTTCTCAGACATTTACATATGCTGAAGCCTCAAATTATGAGTTCCAGCTTTGTACTTAGGGAGGTATTCTCATCTCACTATGCTCACTATCTCATGTAAGTTATTTTCCTCCCTCACTCTGGTAATAGATTCATGCAGCTTGGTGACGTAACCTCCCCCATGTACCCCAGGCGCATTCAGGAAAGGCTAGCATTACTCACTGTGACAACAAGATCTACTTGTCTTTGCAAAAACCCACATAGAGATAGAGGCAACTGCTGCCCCCTTTGTGTGGTTTATGCTGCAACAGTACATCTAAACTAAATCAATTTAATTTTTTTTTTTTAACCGTTTAACCTATTTTGAAGAATCTTAGATGATTTTCCTGTGTAGAAATGATGACAATGGTTGCTCAAATTATTTTGTTGTTACTGATGGTGCAGTTCTTTTTGTTAAATGTGCTTGAAGAGAACAGGGAATTGAATATTTAACTGCTAAAATAGAAAAATGATTTGCTTTATTCAGTTTGCTTTTTAAATTAATATCTTAAACTAGAATTGTACGCCCCTCCGTAACACCAATGTAAATGAAAATACCATAATAGTTTCTAACAACAGGTTAAGAAAAAGTCTTGGCTGCTCTTTCAGTACAATGCAGTCTGTTCCTCTAATTCTATCTAATGTGTCCAGCAGTCTGGTATTGAAAATAATGAAAATTTACATTGATGTCAGACTGCAACTGAACCTTTAGAAATGCATAATAATGGTAGGAGCTCCCTTCATCAGAAACTGCAACTTGTTTTTAAACTGTAGGACCACTCAGGAATTTAAAACTAGTTCTACAAAATCACAGTTTAATTTCTTCTATCAAATGTCAAAATGCACCATTAGAATTTTGTGTTCTTTTTCCAGTTTTTATAAAGCTTTCACAGGCAATTTAGAGTGATTACAATTTTATTTTAAAAGCTTTGTTATTAGAACATAACTTATCACTTTTTTTTTAGAAAGCTACCAACATTTCCAATTCCTTGGTTTTTCACTCTAAACAGCTCAAAAGAATAAAACAGACCATGTTTGCTGCACTCCTTTTGATCTCCCTGTTACTTTACCTGACTTACTGTTACTTTAGCTTTAACCCTTCTGAGACTGGAAATAGGTACCGGTAACCTTAAATCTGTTTTCATGTCCAGTTAATAGAAATGTAGGTTTTACATGTACGTCTAAATAGGTTTATAGAAAGTGTGATACAAATATGTGGGATATCTTTGTTTAGACTGATTTTCCTATCATTAGATTAAGTTTAAATCTGAGGAAAAAAGAGCTTCTTGACTTTTTATATCTTCTTAACTTAAACTTGAAGTCAGTCCAGTTTTATGTTTATGGATAATTCAAAGTTGCAGAAAAAAAAAAAGATTTCCAGACATTACATATTCCAGATCCAGCATGTTTCAAAATAGAGTATAAAACAAAGCATTGTTGCTCTAAAACTTACACTCTTCCAGTTACCTCTTGATCATCTTTTTTTGTAGTCTTAAACTGCCAATAATGTATATCTTAACATGTAGAAAAAAAAAATCAGCCAAATCCAGTCACCATTTGATTTTGCTCTGCAACCTGTATATTTTTATAATTGCACAAGTTGATATAAGGACTGTTTATTTCTTTAAGTATATGTTGTTTTTGCAGGATTATGCAGTAGCTGACTTCTTAACTTCCCTGTGCTGCTACAGTAGCAAATATTTTAAAGAAATAACACGTTTAGGAATATGTGGAGAAATAAAGGATTAGAGCTGACTGTTGTTTTAGATGTATGTGTGGTCCTATGCACATAACCGCACCACCAGAAGACACGAGAAAATTCTTCATTCTAACAGCTACTTGGAGGTAAAAGGGAAATGGAAATTCTCTCATGCTGAAAAAGACCCAGATGACAAATGGACCGAAGGAAACCATCAGTAAAAAAATCGATGTCCCTCCACTTTCTCTAGTTTGTCCAGGTCATAACTATTTTCTATGTGGTGCTTTTTTATTTTGATCCACAATGTTAATTTTGAATAATTATTATTATTCTAACAGAGCTTTTGTTAATCAATAACTGGGATAAACACCTTTCCCCCCTTTGTTTTGTTATTTTGTGGAATTAATTATTCCTTAACTGGTGTCTTGAAGTTTCCTGTGTTGGACTTATTTTTTTTTTTTTTTTTTTGCACCTCTTACAAAACCACCTGCAAATCTCTATACTCAGATTTAATTTCCAACCTGTAGGCAGTGGAGTCATACAAAAGTATATTCAGGCCACTTGGAGATCACAGAATAACAGCCATATTTATAATCTCAAGCCAGTCTGTGAGTAAATATAAAACTGCACTCACTGCTTGAGCAAACTTAAACAAGCTCGCTGCTTTCCTGTTTCACCTCAGCAATTTGTAAATTGCACAATGTTACCTTTGTTATTTGACTATTTAGGTTAGTTCAGTTTAGTTTTAAGGTGGATGTGTTTAACTTTGCCCTTTTCTCTCAGTATCTATTAGATTCATGCTGTTTATGTCCATCCAAAATAAACCGTCCATATCTCTGTAGAACAATCAGAGGCACAGATATGTTTATTGATTCTGAAAAAATGTCAATTTATTAATTTACTTGTTGCCCTATATTTCCTCCAGTTATTAATGATTCAATGCTGTATTAAAATGTCTGAGATATTGCACTGGAAATGTTGAAGTTAAGGTAAAGTTTAGATTCACTCTTTTTAATAGCGGGTAACTTTTCAGCAAGACTAAATGCTGAAACTGAAATAAAGATGTTTTAAGGAAGTGTTATTGAAGCTTTCGTTTGGATTTCTTTCCTTGATACTGGATCAATGTCATTAAAGTTTTACAATTTATACATATCAAATGCCTGGAATTTTAACAAGGGTGCTTGAACTTTTCTTACAATTCAACACATAACAGCTGTATGCTGTAGCTTTAGCAGGAGTACTGCTGAGATTTCACAGAAACGTCATGGATCACAAGCTTCAGACTAACAAGCAGCAGGACTTATAGAGCAGAAAATAAAGCCAAAGCCAATTTAAGTTGAAGGTCTTACAGCTTCACTGACTTGATGCAAAAAACTTTGTTTGTGCTTACAGGTTAAGTAACACCAAGAAGCAAGCGGTTCACACAGTGATGGGCATCTGGATGGTGTCCTTTATCCTGTCCACCCTTCCAGCAGTGGGCTGGCATGACACCATCGATCGTTTCTACACCTCTGACTGCAGATTTATTGTGACAGAGATCGGCCTGGGCTTCGGCGTGTGCTTCCTGCTGCTGATCGGCGGTAGTGTGGCCATGGGTGTGATCTGCATCGGCATTGCTCTCTTCCAGACCTTCTCCATTCAGGCAGGCCATAACGCTGATAAGAACAAGTTCAACGTCCCAACCATTGTGGTGGAGGATGCTCAGGGGAAGCGCAGATCATCCATTGATGGATCAGAGCCTCTCAAGACTTCGCTGCAGATCACTTACCTGATCAGTGGCATTGTTTTCATCTACGATTTCTTGACTGGCTTTCCTATACTGGTAAGTTTATTATGAGCAGTGGCTAAGGGTTAACTTGACTGGTTTGAAGTTTATGTAGGAGATTTTGGTGTAACTTTAATTAGGAAGGCTGAGATAAAAGACTGGGAGTTCGAGTATGCCTGAGTTTGTGGATTTGAGACATTGTAGCTGGACAGGAAGAATAGTTTTATGAGGAAAGACCTGCAGTAAAAAGCCTGTGGCTGGGAATCAGACCCAGGACAGCTGCGCTGATGACTGTAGGTCAAGCACATAGAAAACTTGCTCCACCACTGGGCCTCATGACTTTCTTAATTTTTTAGCATTTTGCTAAAGCTTTTTAAAATAGCATTTTGAGGCCTGAGGCAAAATAATATGAAGGTTCACAAAATACCTAAAAGTAGATGTGTGGTTTGTTCCTACTTATCCAAAGGACATTTTTTTCTTATTATTTTTTTTTTTGGTGCAGTGATAGAAAAAGAGGCTTTTTTAATTAAATTAGTATTAAGACCACATATATCACATTTGATACATGAGTTTTTGAGACCTCTATGTCATTAGTGTGGGACCCTTACTTACACAGTCAGACACATGTAGTGAACAGAAAATTTATAGGTCACAAATGATGGAAATAAAAGATTTAAATTAATTTATACAAAAGTTTTGTTATTTTGTTTGTCAGAAAGTTCCATGACTACTTTAATTTAAAAAAAAAATAGAATTTTCTAAAAATTATTTAATGATCCAGGCTTTAAAGGATTAAGCATTATCAGTTTTTTTTCTGAAATATGGAATATTTTGCATCTCTTTCACATATGTGGATTGTGTTAAGTCTTATACTATTTCACAACATAGAAGAGAAGAATGTTTCTCTTCTGAACTTACAAATATGACATAAGGAAAACATTGCATGACTAAATCTGCTATCTGTTCAGTTTTGACCTTGAATGGTCGGCATTGGAACAAAAAAATCCTCCTTTTCCCTCAACAGAAACAAGGGGCTTTGAAAAAGCTACAACCTTAATCCCTTTAAAATCAGGGGCTCTGGTTTGAAGTGTGTGTTTCATGTTGTCTTTTATGATGAAAGTAAAAATGTTCTCACATACACTAATGATGTAGCATGGCGCTGAAATACTCACAAAATGTTCAATATTAGTGTTCAAAAGCATTTTGCTGCAATAGCTTGAAAATGACGTACAATTTTATTTCAAGGAAAAATTATACACTAGAGCATCCCCATATTTTGATTTATCACATAGAACATGGTGTTCTGAATAAAAAAGGATCTTGTTTCAGTGCAGTGACAGAAACAGCAAGTCTGGTGGCTGCTTTTAGAACCTGATCTAATGAGCTATTTAAATGCATGGAAAGCTGTTTACACAAATGTACTGCATCTTTGTTTTAGAGTGTATGCAGTAACATGGACTCGTACAGCCTTGAAGAGCACATAAATCAAAACATACAATATCTCCAGGTCTAAATAGGATTTCTTGTGATGTGATGTGCTATTCATATTTTCTGGGTTGTAATAAAAATGTTGGTATTTTTCTGTTTTAAGTTTGGTAAAAATATTTTTTACAAGTAATGATTCTGAACAGTACACATAATGTTGATTTTACAGATATGCTGTCTCTGAACTCTAAACTGTTTTTAATCGATGAAAAAGGTTTTATCTTGAATTACCCAGTAACAGAACATTTCTATTTTTGCCTAAAATGAGTGGGTCCTATTAATATGTTATTTCATGGGGTGCCTGGATGATCTCAGAGGCTATGTTGTTGGGGACTAAATTCCGCTGGTTGGGCCTCACAAGACAAACAGGCTCTGAGTGACTAGTCAGACAAAGAGCTGTTCAAAACGCCATCATAAGGCAAAGAAATTGAGGTGCTGCTTCCGGCTGGTGCCTGGAGGAGCAACGTTAGGCCATCCCCCAGTGGGCCCACCAGCTGTATGGGGAACCATGAGCGAACGGTGCAAAGACGATTGGGCAGCGTACTTGGGACATGCACTGGGGACATGGAGTGTCACCTCGCTGGGTGGGAAGGAGGCTGAGCTTGTGCTGGAGGTAAAGGGATACCTGCTAGAAATATTCAGGCTCTCCTCTACACACTGCCTGGGCTCTGGAACCCAACTCCTTGATAGAGGCTGGACTCTCTTGTACTCTGGATTGGCCCGCTGGCATAGGCCTGCTCCTCTACCCCAGCTCAGCCGTCTAGTGTTGGAGTTTACCCCGGTGGTCCAGAGGGTTGCATCACTTCACCTTCGGTTGGGGGTAGGTCCCTGGCTGTGGTTTCAGCCAACTGGCAAAACAGCAGTACAGAGTACCAGGCCTTCTTAGTGTCCTGACAGTAACACCTGGAAGGGTGTGATTGCAAGGAAGCGACCCTCAGCCCTCAACCCAAACTTCTGTGTAAGCCATGGATTATGCATAATGTGAACACCATGTTCAAGCAGAGGGAATAGGAAACCCAGACCCAGAGTTTGATGATCCACTCTGTTGTTGTATCTCCTGACTTTGGACTCTGGGGTGAAGAGAGGGCCAGAGCTGTCCACTGATGACCTCCTGGTGAATATCTGAATAAACTTGAAGAGGAACAGGCTGGACAGACCTGGCAGGCCTTAGTAGCGAGGGTCTGCTGGGAATGTCT